GGGGGGGGGCCCTCCGCTTCCACTGCTCAGAAAGAGCACCGAGCGCAGCCGCGGCTCCAAGCGCTATCCTAGGACTGTGCCTAGGAAAGTGCTCCTGGAGGAGTGTTGCCCAAACTGCGTGCTGGGGAACACCAGTTACAGAGAGTTAGACCAAGGTGTTTGGGAGGAAAATAGGTCTCATGGCCAAGTAAGTTTGGGAAACACTGCATTCTTTCTTTTTGTTAATCCTCACTTGAGGATATTTTTCCCATTGATTTTTAGAGAGAATGGAAGGGGGAAGGGAGGAGGAGGGGGGGGAGAGAGAGAGGGAGAAAGAGAGAGAGAGAGAGAGAGAAAGAGAAAGAGAGAGAGATCAACTATTTCCCAGCAGATGTCAGTAGAGAGTCTTTTTCTAAGGAAATCAGTAGAGTCTGAATTTCTGAAAGATGAAGTCAAGTTTCTGGAGGAAGGGGCGCTGTTTACTACTTTGCACAAAGGTGCTCTGTCGTCTAGTGGGGTCTCTGTCAAACTAACTTAGCTTTTTACATGATCAAACTAATTCTATTTCAGAACATGAGACTATTACCTTAGAGCCTGTTTTGGGCTTTTGATATAGAACCCAAAGCTCTGGCTCTGAGTTTACCAAAGCAATGGTCCTCCAAACAACTGTGTCACACTGGGCCTGCCCAGTGCCCCAGACCCTACTCGGAGGAGTTGTACAGGTAAGTGATATGGCACGCGGAGCCCAGGGTCCTGAGAACCGCTCGTGCTCCAATCAACTACCCCTGGGCCACAGGGTAAGTCATTTTCTGGCTCTGAAGCCCAGGGTCTTTGTCTCTGCCCAAGAGATGGATGGCATTCTCAGACCCCTTCCAGCCATGAAACACAATGACGGCTTTTTATGTTGGCCCCCAAACCAACTTGGGACTGCAGCCTGTGGGGCACACAGCTGTGTACCCAGGACTCAGACTAAGAAGGGACGGGCATAGTGTCGATTTTTCTTAGTTTTTGAAACTTTTTGGAAAACTGACTTTTCAACTTTTCTATTAAAGTATGCGTATATTATAAGGAATTAGAAAATTCTTAAAAATTAAGGTAAATCAAGACTTCAAAAAAAGTCTCTTGCAGCAGGTGGGCAGACACGCTCACACTCGTCAGTGTTCATGGCTACATTGGGTGGACCTTTGAGAAGTGCTGGGCAAACCCATGTTTTTGCTGCTAGCTGAGCTCATGCTGAGCATGCTGGGAAATGATTAGTGCTGAGTGTAAGCTGGACCCTCAGCGGCCCCACACTCAATTCTAATCCAGTGGAGTCAAGGTTCTGTTTATAGCTGTTCTGTCTGTAGCAGAGGAAACACTCATGGAAACCCTAGAGGAGGAGAGACTCAAGCCAAGCGTTGCTCAGCTGAAAGCCGAGGGAGCACTGTGCTTTCTGGCCTTTTGTCTGGGAGGGTCCCGCAGCCCCCAAAGCAGCTCCCTGAACCTCTAGATAGACTCAGACCATTTTCCAATAAACTTGTATCAAAAAAGCTGCCAGAAAACGTCTAGGGAAACAACAGATTCAGCCCTAATTAGGGAGGCACGAGGCCTAGGGGGAAATAAGGCTTGACTGAGCTCTGGGGTCTGCAACCTGCAGCACCAGCCTCTTCCTTCCCAGCCCATTTCAGGGTGAGAGACAACGGGCCTGGAATACACCGCATCTGGTCTCTGGTGTGATCCCCACCCCCTCCTTCCCTGGCCTTTGGGTTGCCGCCTGGACAGCTATTCCAAGGACCTCAGACACACTCCTTCTTTGGATGAACTCAGGGCCTCATGTTTATCAGTCTCTTCAGTTTCTTGACTATTTACATAGCATGTCTCTGTCTCAAGATGTCAGCCCTGCATCATCAGCCCAATATTTACTTTCAAACATAAATAAGCCCCCACCAAATGTCTCTGGCACATGGTTTTAATTGAGACAGTGTGATGGGTGTTTGTGTGTGTGCACAAGTGTACACACACAAGTGGATGTGTCTGTGCATTTTTATTTTTTCCTTTAGAGAAGCAAGGATGACTTCCCCAGCCTGGCTGGAAGAAAGGTGATGACCCCAGTGACCCCCGAGGGGCTGCCAAACCTTACACATTCTCAGAGCCATTTCGCAGATTTATTTTTCTAAGTGTTTCTGCTGGAGGTCAGCAATCATGCTCTCAAATAAAAACCAGGAGCCCAAAGCCAGCTCGAAAGCAGCAGGCTGTTGGAATGGCTCCAGCTGAGGTCAAGTTTGAGGCAGGCCTTTTTCTGACTGCGGCCCTCACACTCCACAGCCTGCTCTTCTCAACGGGTGGAAGAGCGGGGCGAGCGGGGCCTGGTGGCCCTCAGCTCCAGGCCACCTCAGCTTGCACCGGGCAAACAGGAGAGGGGAGAGACTCAGTCGGGGAGAGTGCAGGGTTTTTCTCCTTCGCCGAGTGGTGGCCTGTGTGTCTTGGCAAACTGCACAAGGGAGGGGGGAGGGAGACAGCTGCCAGGGGCCTCAAATGAGGCTTTTTCTTCTAATGAAAGACATCCCAGCATCTTCATCTTTTTACCACTTGACTCAAAGGCTGGCTTCATGAGTTGAAAGCACTTCTTAAAGGTGCAAGCCATAGACAAAGTTCTTATCCCTACTGTACCAGTGAACAACGAAACTTTCGCCTATAAACAAGCCTTTACAATGGTCCTGAAGAGGCGCCGGGCCCAGGCCGCTTCAGGCCTGGTCCGGTGAGAAGGGAAAGGAGAGGGGACTCATTGGGACTGTTCTCCCTTAAAAACGTGTCATATTTCAAAGTTTTCTTCCCGCATAGTGGTTTGGCAGGCTACTGTAATCCTCTCGCAAGAAGTTTAAATCATGGCTCCCAGTGTCTGCGAAGATCCCAGCTCTGCACAAGCTCACTGGGATCCATTTCAGCATTTGTACAAGGGTCTGGTTAGCTCAAGGCCCTCGCTGTGGATTTTGCACTCGGGCCAGGGCCTGCTGCCACCAAGCATGAGAGAGCGGCTGAGATGCCAGGGGCAGGCCTTCTGGAAGACTCCGGGGTCTGCCCAGAGTCAGAGGGAGAGGAGGCAGGGGGCAAGGCGGGGAGCCTGGAGTTCCTCTCAGCAGGAAAAAGGCTTTTGTTAACCCCATAAGGGGCTTCTATTTTTGATAAACAGTGGATGCTTAGTGTGTTAGTAGTACCACAGTGACATCAGGAAGGGCCAGGAGCTGGTGGCACGGGCTCCTTCATCTGCCAAGTCCTGCTCACCTCTCAGGGTCTACATGGCTTTGCCACATCTCTGGTCACTTAACTGCTTTTCCCATAGGTCGTCAAGAGGGAGTGAGGGCTGTGTTGTTTACCTCTGTCCCTTTGTCCAGAGCCTGCCACCTACTAGGGACTTGAGTGAAGCCAATCAGATCCTCTCCCCTGGACTTGTAGATCTGGGAAGCAGAGGTGCTGGAGCAAGTGTTTTCTCCCATGCGTTGGGAAGCTGGAGGAAGCTGGTCGGCCATGGGGAAGGCGATGCAGGCCCATACAGGAGGAGGGGTGAGGGCCGAGTGGGGCAGTGGGAATGAGGGGAGGCGGGAGAACGCCTGCTCTGGTTGGTGGGCACTTTCCGGGTCTGAACACACCCGTTTCCTTTGGTATCTATGAGTACCTTGCATCCTTAGAATTCTCGCTCTGGGTTTAGTGGCTACGGATTGATACCTGGTTTTATTTATTTATTTTTGACAACTGGAAACAATGGCCTCTGTGATGCCTGAGATAAGTATGTTCAGCCCTAGAAACTGAAGAGGAAACTGCCCAGGCTGGTGAGGTGACAGGGATGCCCTTCTGTTGACCTTCCCTCTGCCAGGCGAGGGCAACTGGGAGTGAGCCAGGTCTAGTCTAGTCTGCTGGAGGTAACCACACTCGGAAAGCCCAATGCTGAACTCCTCCTCTTCCGAAACGACTTGCAGCCCTGCTTCCTCGCCCTGGTTAAGGGAAACCATTCATCGTCTAATCTGAAAACAAGAGGCTGATGCTTTTTCCTTCCTGACCTCTCAAGTCCAACCGGTCAACAAATCCTGCCTCTTCTAACTGGGTCCCCTCCTCTCCACCCATGGAGATGGCCCTCATTCCTATCCTGTCCCAGATCTCCCTTTTGAAACAGACATGGCTACGCCCCCAATCTGCTTACAGACCCCCACGCTTCCCCTTTCTCCTGGCCAGGAGGCCCCGTCACAGCCGAGGAAGGTGATCGCACTGAGAGTCATTGACTGCCTTCCCCTGACACACCCCACAAGCTGCCCCACGACAGCCACCTCCTGCAACCAGTGTTTAATCAACACAACCAAAGAAAAGCTAAGCAGATGGTGGGTGAAAGCATGTGCTCGGGAGATGGGACACCCGAGTGGCAGAGTGGAGTGGGTGGCCAGAAGGAGGGCATCCATGCCACGACAGCAAGCGGAGCGTGGCCACCACACTCCCCACCGTGTCTCTGTCTCCTCCCACTCACCCAATCATGGAGGATGGCATTTCCTCTCATCTCAAGAGCCCAGGCAAAGGCAGAAGGAAGGAAGGAAGAGGGAACACACACACACCCCCCCAAAGCCCTTACTGTCTTTTCAGATCTCAAACACTGAGCCGGCTTTGTTCCCCACCCACAGACCAGAGGCTGTCTCAGCAGGAAGGAGTTGGAGAAAACGGGAGAATTAAGAATCTCACTGGCCACACTGATTAAACAAACAACAAATTGGCAGATTGGGGAAAAAAAAAAAAAAAAAAAGGAAA